TCTTGTACGATCCTATTATACGGTCCAGAGGACAAATCAGATACCACGATTCATATATGATTTTCATACGATTTGGTACGATTTTGTCTGATTCAGATACGATCATAGTACGATTCTTTGACCTGGGGAGTTGTGGAAAAGTGCTTTTTTGTATTCAGCGCACTTGATAACCTAGAAGATTTCCTATTTTTGGCGAGACATAATTGAAGAAAAAATTTGAAACTAATATTCTCTGTCTATTCCAAATTTTTTTTCGTCATTTATTCGAAAAATTCTCCTAAACTTTTAGCACTACGTCTCGTCAAAAATAGAAAATCCTCTGGGTTACTCAGTGTGTCGAATACGGAAAAGCGCTATTTCACGACTCTGCATGAACTTTATTTTTCTCTTCACGATGATATGACCCCTTTTACCTCAGATATAAGCAAAAATGACAATGACGCCGACACCTTCTATGTACGAACATTTTACTTATATCGACGCTTTTTTTTCAGATTCTGATAATTTTACTTAATTCTTAACTAGAGACCCACGAAAAATAACACATATATGTTCTGAAAATGTATCTGTTTTTTATGACGAGGTACAGTGTAAGTTTCTGATTCGTTGTTCAAGTCTGTATCGTGCTAACACTACGCAATCCGTGCCGATTACCTTCTTAGATTCGCGCTGATCGCGTACGCTGTAAAGGAGTGATTAAAAACCGTTTGTAGAAAAGCTTTTCTTCATGCCAAGTTTTCTATAAACTTCCATATTTTAATAAACTATACCGGCAAAAATTTAAGAAAAATTATCTCGTTGTTGCTCTTTATTAACATTTTGTTGTCTTTACCACTTTACAATACTGAGCACCTTTTGTGCTGGCTACGTGAAAGTTAAAGACTAGATATAGACGTCACAAAGCCTGTCTGGGAGGAATTATAGGGATTAGTGTCATAGAAATATAAGAGATGTGTGACTTTCCAATAGAGAATACAAATTTGGTCGACGAATAGCATCTCGTGCTTCCGGATAACAATAGTATCTAGGAATTTTGACCGCCTTTCTGCAAAATGTAACAGAAAAATGGAACGAGTAGTCAGATTAGTTTTTTGCTACGGTTAAAACATAACATGGTGGATTATTTCTTGCTGAATAATCAAACAGGAAAAACATTCTATGGAACGATGTAGAGGTAATTGTGTTGGATAAAACGTGTAACGGGAAAGGTATGACATTTCTTTCACCCCATTTGTTCATTTCAACTAATGAAAAATGATTTTACAGTAAGAATCATAAGAAAAAAACTTGCCAGTATTGTGCGCTTCTCTGACACAGAAAGAGATGATTCATGAGCTGAGATAGTACATATATATGCTTTAAGTTGTGATTTTCTTTTGTAAAATATTACTGCGATTTTATCGATGACGAATCTTCTTCTGTACAAAAATTAGTTGTCGATACGACCGACTATGAATGCAAATAATGGTGAAGCTATCTACCTGTTAGCATGGCCTACTGGTAGCGAAGCCGTATATTATTTCTTGAGATTCTTCAACTGTAATCAGGCCATCAAAAAAGATTTCTTCTACAAAGAATGAGATATAATCCCTCATGTCTACAATGGCTATATCGCTTTCCAGTGACATCATAAAATACTTAGATATATTTTTTTTCTATAGACTGTTCTATCATCTCATGATTCGACATACATAGCTAAACATCTTTACTTGTCTGATTCTGCAATGAAATCGAAAATAAAAGTCGGCAGTGTTGTTCGACACGTGCACAATGATAAAAAAAATAATTTACAGACAAACATTGAAGAGAGAAAAAATGTTTGTCTATTCGAACGTTTCCTTTCTCTTACTAAAACAAAGATCCTTTCAAAGATTTGATAACACCTTTAACTCCAAAAACTTAAAGTACTAGACAAGAAATAAATGATCGTACAACCAAAAAATGCTGACAATTCATCGTTTTTGTAACTAAAATTATTTTCATTTTGTAAATAGACAACTGATGGTGCCTTTGTTTAAAACGAAAGATGTTGATTTTTATTTTGATTCTTCTACAGATCGATCACACCCCCCCACTGTGGTGTGTGTGGAGTGTGAGTGTGAGTGTGTGATCGATCTGTAGAAGTACCTTTATTTTCAGTTAATAAATTAGGAGTTGTTTTTGACATCTTTTTACCAACGTTGATGGATATATCACTGACAAAATGAGATGCGCTTACTTGTGCCTGATTTTCAGCTCTTACATATAACAGTCATTTGATATAATGTCTTTTTGATTCTGTCGAAGCTAAATTTTCAGCAATCGTTCAAAATTATTTTTCTTCCAGATTACAGAAATGTCAGCTGCTGCAGGGGAATGGTGTTTGATAGAGAGCGATCCTGGTGTTTTCACAGAATTAATCCATGGTTTTGGTTTGTCTTTATCACCCTTTTTTTTGAAATTAAAGTTAAGAACTTTTTTTGTTCAATTTAGGCGCTGATGGTGTTCAAGTTGAAGAGATATTTTCATTGGATGACGATAGTCTTGAGACGCTTAAGTAATTTGGAGACACTTTTAGTTGTTGGTTGGTGTCGGTTTTCGTTTCATTCAGGGCCAGTGCATGGACTAATATTTTTATTTAAATGGCAACAAATGGATACATCTTCAGATAATATTGTGCAAGATAGTCGACTCAATGAAATCTTTTTTGCTAAACAAGTATGATTATACACGTATATAACAATTGCTTCCAAAAAGATATTTATTCTTTTGTTTTCTATCTATCCGTAATTATTACTCACTCATCAATTCATTTTTTATTGTAAAATGAATATGAATTTATTTGGTTACCAATTTAGTTATTTTATTTGAACTTCAATATAATGTGAGATGCGATCAATTCACACTCTATTTTCGCATTTTCTTGAAAATTTCTCATAGTATTATTTATCCATAAAGTCATGTTATCTTTCCTTTTTCTTTTTTTCAGGTGATTCAAAATGCGTGTGCCACTCAAGCAATTGTCTCTGTTCTTCTCAATTGTAAACATCATGATTTGAAACTTGGTTCTACACTACAAGATTTTCGAGACTTTGCAATAGCCTTTGATCCACAAGTATTTTTTGATGAAATGAAATACTTTTTGTTTTTTTGTTACATCACTTGAGTGTGTATACTTTAGATGCGTGGTTTAACATTATCGAATAGTGAAAAAATTCGCGATGTTCATAACAGTTTTTCACGGTTCGTCATTGTTAAAGTGTATATTTTATTTGTTCTAATGAAACATCTATTATCGATTCTTTTATAGACAGCAATTATTTGAATTCGATGTTCAAGATGAAAAGAAAGAAGAAGATGCTTTTCATTTTGTTGCCTATATACCGTATGATGGACGATTGTACGAATTGGATGGGCTCAAAGAAGGACCAATTAATCATGGTAAAAAAAATACATTTTTCTTTTGTTAAAGTTATAGAATGCGTTGATGTGTGATTCTGAAATACTATTTTGATTGTTCATGTTAGGCAATAAATTTGATCACCTTTATGTGTATAGGTCCAATTCCAAAAGGTACAGAATGGACTGATGTTGCTAGACCAATTGTTCAACAACGAATGCAAAGGTAACCGTATATTAATTGAAAAGCTGATAAGTTACACTCTTTTCTTTTCTTTTTCTCATAGGTACAATGAAGGTGAAATTCATTTTAATTTGATGGCAAGTAAGTTATTCATTCATTGCACAATCAATTATTTTCTTTGTACTAGCTAATAGATTATCAGTGGTAGTCCGAGCAAACTTGTATTTAGGGGTGGCTCATTACCATTACTGTTACTAATAATAAGTAACAGAATTGCTACTTGTTACTAGTAGTTAGTAACACAGTAACAAATTAGCATCTGCAGTTACTAATTATTAGTAACAAGTAACAAATTTTTGTTAATTTAATTGGTAAAGTAATAACACCGAGTAATAAGTAATGAGCCATTCCTACTTGTATTATTATTCATTAACATTGCTCTTGACTGTTTTAGTCGTCTCCGATATAAAACAAAAATATCAACGAGAAATTGAACAAGTTCAAGCTGGTAATTTGTTCTGTAAAATAAAAAAAACAACAGTTGAATTTGACTTCTATTCCTTGTTTCTTCTTATGTAGATAAATCACTTGGAGATGCTGAAGCGAAACAAAAAATTGAACATTTTAATTTGTTAATCAAAGAAGAAGAACGAAAAATAAATTCATATAAGGTATATATATAGCATATTTTTTCATGCATGTCAGTCATTTAACTGCATCAAAAAATTGAGTTTTTACTAAGTATGGAAGTGCAAAGTTTTCATCTAAAGTAAATTTACAAGATCTTTTTTATCAGATATTTATAAAAAGTGTGAACTTAAGGTATGTTAACCTTACAAAGTAGTTAATGTACAAATAAATTATTCAGTTATTATGTACGGTAATAACGTTGCTTGATTATTTGTTAACTCTATAGATTGAAAATTACCGCCGTCGACACAATTGGCTTCCATTTATTGTTGAATTACTAAAATCGTATGCAACGCAAGGAATATTAGTACCGGCTGTTGATAAGGTACTGATATAATTTCTGATAGATCAATTTACTCTTTACGTTTTGTTTCTCTAGGCAATTGCTATTAAACAAGCTGAAAAAGAAAAAGAGGATGCCAGTGGGAAAAAACGGAAACGAATTTAAGAACAACAACAATAGCGGACAGAAATATGTTATGTTAATGATGAAAAAAAATTCGAATATAATATCTCATTTATTCCTTGTTGATGTATTTTTCTAATTCTACTTTCTTTTATTGTTCTAATAAACTGACACACGTAGCGTCATAATATTCAATTTAAACTGCCAATAGGCATAAAAGAGATGAACAAATAATGTGACCAACTCTTGTATATGGGAGATTCTGTTATCTATTAATTTTTGAATGTCATACTGATTCTTTCCGAGTACCAAAATCAAATTTATGGTTCTATATTGCCTTTTAAAACACTTATTAACTTCATAGTTAAATTCTTGCCACTTTAACATAAGTCTACTCTTCTTCTTGCAACCATTTTTAAACTAATAACGAAAAGCTGACAAAAGATGAAAATTTAAGCTTGTGGACCAAAATGTTCTTAGTGTTACAAAATCAACTATTATTCGATAGAATAATTTGACATTTCTGCTTGTTTATTTATACTGCTTTATTTTATTTCTTAAACAGAATATTCTCTATCATCTCAAATCAAATTGTGTGAAACATGTGCTCTCGCATAAATACATACGTATCGAGGTTTGAAAACTGATCACGTTTTCAACAAATGATCTCTATTTGCAGACAATTTTTCGTTATTCGTCGGCAAAGAACAATGGCTTTTAACCCTTAATAATAGCGACTAGGCCTTCTTCGACCGTCTGCTTATATTATGAACAACGCAAAGTTCTCTCTTTCTCTCTGTCTTTTGTATTTTTTCGAAAGTTGGCAAACTTAAGAAAAATAAGCAAAAATATACAAGCATAGGATAGAATACTTTGCTCTCTTCATATTTATAACTTACACGATACAGTAAACACGAGAATACACAGTTAGTACAAGAAATCATGTTTAAGTTAATTTTCTTATTTGGTCTAGTATTATCAGCATTATCAGTACCGGTCCGACAAAACGGTAGTAATAAACCGGAATCAAATTCAATCGTTGAAGGTGAGAGTTTAATCAGTACAGTGACTCAGAAGTTCAATTTCCATTAAAACATAATATGATGGTTTTACTTGATGTGAATGAAGAGAATCGAATATCAGAGTTAAATATTAGTCGATAGCAGACAGATAAAATAAAAGTAGTGATCCAACTCAAATACCTGTTGTAATAAAGAGAGATACAGAAACAGCAATGAGTCAAGTCAACATACAGATAATAATGACAAAAGTATGCTGATATTTAGCTCTAGTTGAAGAATATTTGCGCTCGACTTTTGTGACATATCTTTATGTAGAAAACCAACTCTTTTCTGAGATATAAGACATGGCGTATTTAGCGTTCAAATGAATCTTAAAAGCGTTGTACAACTCTTCACATTTGTTTCAAAGAGTTTTTGTGATTACTTGAGATCTAAAATTATAGTAGTTTTCTATGTTTAGGCAATAGCAGTACCTTAGTAGTATCTCCGAAAAGATTAGCAGCTAGACCTACTAAATTAAATCCAGACGAACATAAAAAGTTAGAATTAACAACGCCATTAACTGACGACATAACCACCCCGAAGTCGACAGAACCATGGTTATTTACCGATTATCGTAATTCAACTACTGGACCAAGTTATTTGTTTCAAAATGATCAGGTGAATCAGTCTAATAATCGTCCTGTATCTACACGTCAGAAATATTATGGAGTTCCATCATCATTTAAAGATCAACCTGATCAATTTGATCAAGTACAAGATCAAAATGGTGGTGTAAAGACAGCAAAAATTACTGATGTTTTACCGGAAAATGTTGATCAACAAAGTCGAATATTATATGATCGTATGACATTAGAGACATCTGATGATGATTCATATGATTTCAACAACACATCAACATGTAAGAGTAAAACAGGATTTTTCCCTATTGGAAAAATCTAGATATATTTCGTCTATAATCGAGTGATATATGACTGGTTGTCATCCAGATTACTAGTTGGAAAATGGACTTATAACTAGATGCATCTGCATGTATAATTAGCAATAGTTAAATTAATAGTTGCAACTGAGGAGAAATCTAGCAGTCACCTGATTACTAGATTTCCACGGTCGTTACTAAATAATTGCAATCGAGTAAAAATCTAAATGAATCGGGTGATACTAGATTTTCTTTTTATGCTTGGGTTAATCTTAGCATGTGGGGTAAAAGAGTGTTAACAGCATCCTCAATTAGCTTTCCTTTATATAAGACGAAAAAACAGCTCCCCGGTCAACAAAAACTGACATTTGTATCAGTTTTAAACTATCTGGCAACAAACCATTCATCCTTTTGTTTCGCTATTTTGACTAATAGAAATGCTTTCAAGAAAACTTTGACTCTTCGATTATACAAGTGATCGAAACTTGTCTTAAGGAGATAGTCTTTAGTTCTGGACTGATACCAGTGATGATATTATGGTCCTAAAGAACCAAAAATATTGAAATTTGCGGATTCACTTTTTGTGAGGTTACTAGCTAGAAAAAAACTGACTGGAAAATGTTCGGACAACAGGTTATTAACGGTCTTATAGCGAATACCATAAAATATCCGTTTTTTGATCGTAATAAAACTGACACTTTTAAACATTAATGTGTTTCCACTTTAAATGCATAAAAATCGTCAAAAAATTTCGCAATGATCTAAAAATGATCATTCAAACATTGGATAGATTATTAATGAGTATTTAATAGACAATTAATTACACCGCTTTTGACACCCTGGGAGCTGTCTTTAAATGTTTGTTTTGAGACCTTCTTTTGGATGATGTAGACTTTTTTTTATAATGATTTCTTTTTGTTTCAGATGATAAACCATTGGATTCAAAGGATAAACCATTGGATTCAACGGATAAACCATTGGATTGAAATGATAACTCTTATAATGATGGTAGAAACGAAAAGCGCACCGTGAAAATATAGTGGATATGTGTCGTATCGTGTAGGTGATAAATATTTTTTGTTTTCACTTCTAGTCTTTTTTTTCCGTCATGAATAATGTCTATGTAGTAAAGTATGTTTTATTCGTTAATAATTCTTTTTTAATTCATTTTCAAAAATAAATTAAATACAATGTGAACTCTTTTACAGTAGAAAATGCACCGAGATCTAGTGGAACTGATATTTAATAACCTATGCAATACCTGTTACATGTATATGAAAAACAGATGTTTAACTAGTCAGTATTCAGCGGTTAAAAAATGGACAATCCAGAGTCGTGATCAAATGAGAAGTAGTTTCTGTTTCTCACACAGGTGCTAGTGATGGTACTGTAGACTCAACGAACAAAAATATTAAAAAAATGGCTATTTGCTATTTTCTGAGAGTAATAAATACATTAAGCTGTTAAAATATCTGAAAACTGTTTTAGAACAATTATTTGTAGTGAAAAACGGTCATCATACAATGTTTTTTGTCATTTCAAAAATGCTAATTGCAGGCGTTGATACATTTCTAGTTATAATACTGGAAAAAATGGTGTCAGATCGCTAAAAATATTATTTAACAACCAGCTAATGATCCATCACAAGGCATTTAATGGGCCGTTAATGTGACCGTTTTCGTCGTTCGGGGCAGAATCAGTTGACAACTAGCAGCAGGAGAGCAGGTGGACATTTTGAATATTTCTAGAAGTAAAACGTAATTCGAAGTTGGGCTCGACCAGAAATATCTTTCATCATGTTGTACCGTATACTATCTCGATGTCAAATGTTTGTTCGAGCCATGAATAATCTCTTAAAATTTACGGATAAACACATGAGCCCGGAATTTAAAAATCTATCCAGCACCGTCTACTAATCACATTTATTCGAGTTACATATGTCACAATGAACGAAACGTCGTGTTAAAAAAGAAAATGAAAACTAACAATGAAATTTCAAGCAAACTTAAAACTTCTATGCAATGAAATTGAGTTTTAAAGTACTAATTTGAAGCAGGATAATGGTATGCTGAGCCAATGCACTTCGTCGTTAGACTACGTACATTAATAATTTTTATTATGAAGTTATCCCTGAAAACTATAGTATTGTTCATATGAAACTTCCTGTACGAGGCATAATAGCAGATATAATGCTCTTTAGTTTTGATGTAGTTTAACAGTGAATACCACACACTAGGAAAACCAGACACTTATAGAAGTTAACAAGTTTAGATCGAGCTGATTTTGGCATATATTACAGTCTTATTCAAGCAGAATATAAGTTCAAATTATTGTGATCTAGGATGCTATTCATTAGGATGCTATTTTAACTTTTTTTGCATATTTTAACAATTTCTCTCCAATCAAGTGGCCAGATCGCTAAATTATTGCTGCTAGGAAGAGTAGCACTCACATTTCAGTGAAAGATCAACTTTACTGCTACGTAGTATTGGACAGTGAGCGGCAGATTATAAGTCTAACTAAGTCAACTGCCAGAAAATCAACATGTCATACTTCCTTCAGTTGTGTAGATAGATTTCTGCTCCACATAAACACATCTATGAAATTGTACGACCTTTTCAATTGTTGAAACTTTTTTGGACATCGAAGTTTCAAAGTTGACTGATATTAATTTGTCATCGAATGAACGAAATATTAGATGCTAATAACAAACTTTTTCTTGAATTTTTTAAAATTCTGTGAGAATAGCCGTACTGACTTATGGTCAGTTACATATTTCCGACAATTTTCAGTGTACATTTTAAGAAAAAGGTCTCTTGAGTTACTCGAGTGAATAAGGACATAAGATGCAAAAAGAAACAATAGTTCAGTTTTTGAAATTTTAAAACAATTGAAAAAGATTTCAACGATTATGCTATTGCAGAACGATGTAAGATAACTCGCCGATATTGAAGCTAATATGGTAGTGTTTTTTTATTTTCTCTTTCAGTCATTGTTTTAAGAAATTTTCCGAATTGGTGAGCAATATGGACAGAAGGCTCAACCCTTTACTCCTAACATTCACAAGCATGGGCATTAGAGATTGCTGTAATAAAATTGGTGATGTGTCGCATCAGAAAATGGATTTTTTCTAAAGATTAGCTGTCACCATAAACGAGAGATGCTAATCAAAAAAGTTTTTAACATCAGGCCTAAGGAAAGATATAAATATTAGGTGCGCTTTGCATGACCAGCTGCGTAGGAAAGGGATTAAGTATTTATGATGAAATTTGGAATTAACTTTGAAAATCCATTATCGTACGATTCTACCATGGACCTGCGCTAATGGTATCCATTAACTTCTATTTACATAAAATAGAAAACATCTGCATTAAAAAGTGAAGTAAGATACTTCGAAAAAAGTATTCAAATGTGTACTTATACAAATAAACAAGAAATTTGTTATTGTATAAAAATCTAACATATATCTAAAGATTTCAGACTAATATACGAAAAAGACAAGCATATCAAAATTAGTATAAAAAAACGTACCAGAGCAGAAATACAAAAAACGAGAACAATAGTCTACATTACACTTTTATATCTACAAGCAAACATAATCCATGTGGCTAAAGCATTTTCTGGATAAGTGAAAACATGTACGCGTACCGCTAATCGAACTTGATCACCATGACAACAAACGATTTCCTGACATAATGGATTTCTAAACAAGAAAAATGTTTATAAATAACCATGGAAATATTTAACAAGAAAAATGGATGCCTACTTCATACTGAAGATAAATGCTTTTCGAGAGTTTTTATGAATAAATTGAATTGGAAAACCTTTGAAGGCATGACCATTAGGCACGGCACGTCGAACAGCTTCTTGAAATTCTTCATTGCCAACAGATAATCCTTAAATGAGTCGAATGAAAGATAAACTAACATTGTCTGTGAATAGAATAATACAAACTCACCTGAAACTCGTTCTAGTTCATAAGAGGACAATGCAGGACTAAGTAGATAAGATAAATGATCATCCCATTGAGTCATGTAGCCAAGATCCTGCGAAGAAACCGTTTTTCGCTTTAGTAAGATAAGCAACACAAAATAGACTTCTATATTCAACCAGCTTGATCAAATAAAAACTGTGACATACTTTTCGATGCTGTATAATGAGCGCTCTAATTTGTTTTTCTATATCATTTGATATAGCTATAGAATCTAAATTATTTGCAATTAATTGTGGCATAACGGGTGCTGTTAAAACGTAACCGATTGTAGTTACAGAAGCGATGGCCTCTTCTGACATCGATTTCCATTTTGACTGATCACTGAGGCGAAATGAACATGTATCAACGTTGCATAAAGGCTTAAAAACGATAATAAAGTTTTAATTGGCAAGAAGAAACTAGTAATAGTATGAACCTGTATATTAGCATAAAACGATTGATTATTAAATAAACATCCGATTGTTCTATAAGGATGACGAATATTAGACAAAACACCTTTGTCTAATGGAGGATCATCAGGATCGATCGATATATGTAAATATCTAGAGAAAAAGAAATCAATCAACATTAAGACGCTTACAGGATAAAAAGAAAATCAAAACGAAAATTGCTTTGCTTGCAATTGCAGTGGATAAAAGTATATTCTAGTGATAAACTTACTTGAATCTTACTAAGACCTTAGAAAAATCTTATTAAGATCTTAGTAAGATTTCGCTTACATTTGTCTAAGATCTTAAACAAATCTTACTACCATCTTACTAATCTTACTATCGAAAATTCTAAGACAGTATAAGGTTTTTCTAAGATCTTGGTAAGATTCGAGTAAGTTTATCACTAGAATATACTTTTATCTACTGCAATTGTAAGCAAAATCTTACTAAGATTTTTCTAAGATCTTACTTGAATAACTAAGATCTTGATATCAGAGAACTAAGATAATACTGTCTAAGGTCTTTTCAAGATTGAATAAGAATTTGTTAGGATCTTAATAGTGAGAACGATGATATTCTTTAAATAATATTCATTCGATTTGAGGTTCACTGAAAATTTTTCAGGTTTTAATCCGCATTATTCAAAGCAGCAGTTGAACAGTTGAAGAATGAAGAGAAATTTCATATTTTCGGGTGTCCAACTATGGACCTTGACCTACATGTACACTCTCTAAAACGTTGTTGAAGACTTTCGAGAGAGCAAGTACTAGCAGAGTCTGGAAGAAAAATAACCGCAAAATCAGTCATATTTTTAATCTTACTTATATAGATGAATGAGAGCAAAATAAAAGGGTGATGAAAGCAGAGTCATTAAATCTTATTAAGATCTTAAGCGATAAGATCTTAGTAAGATAATTTTAAGAAGTGTCTAAGATTTTTACTAGGGTTCATTCACAGAGATATTGATGTGGAGTTTGTGGACATAGCTTGAGTAATATATACACTGTAAAACACCAGGTCTCCCTTGAGAGTCATTGTGAACATATACTTAACTTCTATATGGAATGAAGGAAAATATTCCGGCTATTATTGAAAGAAACAGTTTGATATATATAGTCGTAGCCAGGGTGGGGCGAGTCCGATTTCGGACTAGAAGGCTTTTCGTTGGACTCGGACTTCGATTGGAGATTTTTTCGAAGGACTCGAACTTGAGTTTTGATATTTCGAGTCCGATCTATCCAAGTCTCGGTAACTTAGTTGGAAAGCTTTTGTGTGTTGTGGCTACGTCGGCGCCTATTGAGCGTATTTTTTCTCAGTCAGGTTTTTTGATTAGCGCGAAAGAGCAGGTGTTACGAAAAACAATCTATCTCAACTGACATTGTTAAAATGTAATAGAAGTTTACTTTAGTAACTTTTTCTGTTTCAACAAGATTAATGTATTAAATGGCACAGAAAAAAAGAGAAATAAACCACAATCATCGAAAAAGAATCTAAAAGATTACCGCCCTAGTGACACTTCTTGTAACCAAGATCTTGACTTCTTGAATTTTTTCGGTAAGATCTTGATTCCAGATCTTAGTAAGAAAATATAAGAATTCAAGAAATTTCAGGATGTCAAGATTTTGAACATCTTGTAATTTCTTGACTTCTTGTACCAAGATCTTAGAAATTCTTGAATCATCGTTTTGTTTTACACTCTTGTGTAAATATAAGTGCGAATATTTTTACACTTAGAATAACTTCAAATTTTTTTCCTTCTTGATCATAGTTTAAGGAAGAATCTACGACTCTATACGGTCGTATATCCAATGGCTACGACTGTCATAAATAAAAACAAAATATAAAGAAAATTTGTCACTCAAGCTCTTGCAGCATCTTGGGTGGATTCACTCAAGGTTTTGGCCAAGATCTTGAGTGAAAGATTCAAGAATCCAAGACCTCGGCCAAGATCTTAAGTACAAGAAGTTCCACTAGGGCCGGATTCGAAATGGACTCGGAACGCGGACTCACTCATCCCTGGTCGTAGCGATGATGAAACAAAAGCGTGAATAATTTTTTGACAAAACGGTGAAGAAACTGTTCATTAACTGTGATAGAAATAAAAATCGAGTGTCTGTTCCGTTAACCGCCCGTTTTTAGGCCATTAAGTAACGTTCAAAAGACGGTGTGTTTACGGTCCGTTCTTTGATTGTTTTTTCGACGTTAACTGGTGGTTTTCAGGATGTCCGTAAACAGTCAGTTAACAGACCGTTCTAATTCGTCTGGAAAGTAAATAAACTCAACTTTTTTTAAGACTTCTCCTCAAAAAAAACTTCAACATTTTCATATCGTACAGTTGTAGTTGAAATTTGAAATTTAGAGAAAGGTGATTTTTAGGGCTTTCAGAGATATTTTTCAAAAACCTCCAAAGACATTGAATTTCTCAAAGATGATACTTTGGGATACTGAACCTTATGGTTACTTCAGTTTCGAAGGTTTCGAAGAAAAAATCGAATTCCGAGGGAGCACTCTTTAAATGACATATGCGGTGTGCGAGTGTATTTTGCAGTGCCAAGAGCATCTTGCAGCCACACTGTCCATAGAGTTAACCCAGAAAAGATATATCAATACTAGTGACTAATGTATTGTATAAATGAGATAAGTTAAATACTTACCGATTTCCATTAAGACTTTCCCAGAAGAAAACATCTTCTGCTCCAATCGTCACTACCCAGGAGTGAATTTGATTTTTTGCTTTCGTACCAATACCTGTTTATGGAGAAAAAATGATCAGAAGGCGGTGTATAGCTTCAAATATTGGTGTGAGTAGTGTACTTACACACATATGCATCGAGACCAAATCCAAGCAGTAAACTGCATAATAGTGTAGCATGATTCTCACAGTCCTAAAGAAAAACAAAACAATATAAAGGAATATTCAGAAGTGTATAAACGTGTCAGTTACTCCGGAATTTCTTGCTAAAAATGCATGGGTATGTTTCCACATTTCTGTACGATCCGTATTTCCCACAACGGAATGTCGTTCATAATTAATAAGACTAACAAATCGAGCGGCTTGCCGAGGCGTATCTAACAATCGTCCACTACGTAGTGAACGAACAAACGTGAAGACGGGATGATTAACACCGTTCTCGTCCTGAAACGAAAGGTTGACATTATATGAAGATAAATTTGGAGTTACTCTTGCAAGAAAAAGAAGCTAACTTGTCCAAATATTTTCACTAATCTTGTTTTATGTTCTTCTCTAATTTCCAGGTATTCTTTCCACCACTGTTTAGCATAAACGAGAAATAATCTTTCTCGCTCCGTTGATCTGGAATGTTCTAAATCGAGTTGTGCAGCTAGAATATCATCTGGCAGTGGTTCGTTTAACGGTGGTATTAGTTGCAAACAAACATTTAACAACCCAACCGGCAATTTATTTTCGGCTCCTAGGCCACACAAAATATTACGGTTAAAATAAATTTATTTTAGCAATTGTGTGCATACATACCAATTCCATTTAATTCAAGTGTTCGTGTTGTTTTATTAATTTGTGCACATAAAACATGTCGCCATTCAAGAAAATGAGATGAAACCAAGTGAGTATCACCCAATGGATCCTTTCGAATAAGTACAATATGAATACGATCACATATGGAAATTAACGTTTCCTTATCAGCCATTCCACCATATTCACCTTAAAAAAGGAAATTTCCTCTCAGTCAATAATATTTTAATTTCAACAAACAAAAAAACGACAAAGTATAAATAATAAGTTGAAATTATAGATTATGCAGCCGAGATGAAAAAGATTTTGGTATCTGTTAGTTAAATGTATAGTCAGATGTTTTTCTTACCTTGTTTTTTTTCTTTATGTAATTCTAATAAAAATCCTTGTTGAAAAAATGGTTCAGCTGCTACTGGGATCGGTTTTGTTCTAAATCTTTGTCCCCGAAATAGAATTGAGATTATAAATGATGACGTATTTATCGTACCCCCACCGGGTAAATATTCTGCTGGCGGTTCATTTAAATAATCTGTAAATGCTTTTCCATTTAAAAATTGTAAATATAGATGTCGTCGATTCGAATCAAAATTTACTTGTTCTAAAGGTAAGGCGAGATGTTGATCGATATCAATTAAATTTGTCGATGGTTTTAGTGATGTTCGTTGACGAGGAGAGGGATGATGTGTATGTTCACCACCACCACTACCACCACCACCACCACCAAAGTGAATATTTTTCATCATACTATCTAAGACACCACGTTGTTTCAACTGATCAATTAAAAAATTCTGGTTTATCGTACTAGACGGATTTTGTTGAGCATATTCCGAAACAATATCTTTTATTTGATTACTTATGTCGGATTGTGATAAATGATTCGATATCACTTGTTTCAATTCAGAAATTTTATCTGGGCCTACTGACATAATCTTTATCTAGGAAAGTAAAGTGTCATAATAAATGGACAGATGGTTGATCTTGCTATTAGAAGTTAAATCACTCATCTGAAGTTCACCGAAGTTTTAAAAACTTCACGCATTACTATTTCATTTCTAGAATAGAATGATGGATGACTCAACTGTCGTTTAGTGCAGTTTTTTTTCTATTGAGATTCCACCCTGATCGCTCGGGTACAATCTGTTTTTTCTTTCAGCCCGTGCAAAGTATATACATTCTGAAAAAAGTGTGAAGCAGTCAAATATAGAGGTTGTTTAGGTAGATTTTTTAATAGCACTGACTCATACAGAAAACTACAGGTTTGAAGAAAGTAATAAGAAAACACAACTTCTGATTCCGCTTTTTAAATAAAGAAATTCAGTAATATAGAATAAGAAACTGTAAATTTATTTTCCCAGTTATATACAGAACAATATGTTTTCTTAAAGGGTATAGAACAGACCATATTTTCTAAAATCACATTGTACGTAACAGTTGTCATTAGAAAACCTTGCTCAGGGGGGAAAGTTTACATTCGGTTAATGAATTGAGCCGAACGCTTCCTCCTTAAATCGCGATACAATTAAAATAGAAAGCTTGTAAATAGAATGACATAAAACAAATTTAAAAACGAAACTAATTGCTCGGTTTTTATCCCGACCAATTTGTAAAAATATAGAACAAAAGTGGGGAGTGTGTTTCAAATGTTATCAACAAATGTTCACATCTGTAGCAGAGTACAAACAAATGTGGTTCTTATCGAATAAAATGATAGTGAAGAGAAGGCTTAGGAGCTAAAAGATACCATATTATTGACAGCTGTAAATCTGTTTCTAAGCAACGGTTCAACGAATTCGATTGCTCAAAACATGTCCTATCATCTAGTATCTTTTTACCCGTGAATAAACAGGTTTTGAGCAGTTTTTCTTCAGAATTACAGAGAGTTTTATTTTGTTCTAAACTCCAAAAGAACAAATTTTGCTATTATTTGTTAGAAGTTTATCAGGTATTCACATAGGCAGTGGCACACTCTTTCGTCTCAAAGCTCGTGGTTAGCTTCCAATTCACAAGATATTTTTGAATTTAGAAGACAATTGCTGATCAAAATGCACTAGAACTAAAAGTTAGGCCTAAGTCGCTAGTATCGTTGTAAACTTGTATTAATTATGGGAACAACTTTCGATCCTGGCCTAGGACCGAAAGCTAGGCCTAAGATGAAGCACTTGAGTCAAGATGCGCTAGAAGTCCTAGTGCATCTAGAGTAAAATGCTTCATCTGTTAGGCGGTTTAACGCAATCGCGCATGGAGAGTTCACGATGAAATGCGAAGCTGACATAACACTTCTGATTGGCTGACCAATGGAGAAACCTGTCAGTACGTGAAACAAACACGCTTAAGTCTGGACTTAATCTCAGTCAGGGATTGAGATTGACTTATTTCTTATCGTCACATCAGGATTAAGTGCGACATGAGTTTGTCCAAAGTCCATGAAACGTGACCTTAAGTCACTGCTTAACTTAAGATATATGCAGAACTGTCTTGGGTCAGTGGTGTATAAGGACCCATCAACACACATTAAACGTTGACTGAAATATCTATTCTTGAACCTAAGAATCTGGATGAAACGATTTTAAGTATACTTTTCTTATAAACTTGGACAGTGAGGCGTCCGTTTGGTCTCAGTTCTGATCTTGCTCACTCCTCGGTTAGTGTTCTCCTTTCTTCAAGCGCTTTGTCTCGCTGCTATAGGTCCTTGGAAAACAGTCAACACTAAAATCAATGATAATGATGTTTAACTTAGTCATGAACGGTGACATTCATCAACACTTCCTGATCTATTATATCCGTGACTCAAACCAAATAGTAAAAACAATGGTGATATCCGCATAAGAAAGAATGGTAAATGAGGAGAAAAACAATATTATATAAAATAATTTAGAGATGAAGACATTATAGTCGAAGTTTCGAGAGATTACACCAGCAGCAGACTTTTTACCGAACATCAGATGAGATTGTTATCAGAAACAATCATGACTTAAAAGGCAATCGTAAATTTAAATTTTCTAACGAGATGTTTTTTCTTCATCATAGCACCCGCCATTAAAGGTATAATTTTGAAAAATTGACCTGGCCAAATCATCGATATAAGATTGAAAAATTTTCAGTTATTACGAAGTAAAACATACTATCTTTCGTTTTCGTTTTAATCTGTCGACATAATCAAGTCTTAAGTCATTTAAAATAGTCTTTGTTTTGTTTCCTCATTTCTACTCTATAGAACAAGACATTGATAAGAAAATCTTACAGACATTTGCGTAATTATAATTAAAATACTAAAATATGTGCAACGATATAAAGATCTGTTCCAGTTGATGGATATACTAGGATAATCCCATGTAAAAAACAGCGTTTTTGGACGTGGTGATTGGTTTTCTGATCTTATGGAATATAGTTTTTTTGAAGAAAGAGTTCCTTTGCATATATATTCCACACATTCTTCTGAGAAAACGAATGCTAGTACTAGCACTGAACTCAGTTACCCTCCGTCATTTTATTGTTACGCATTGTACGAGTCCAAAACCTTCGTTCTGTTTTTCTGTTCTGTTTTAAAGCTCTTGGTCATTTTTATCTAATACTTTTCTGCTTTATTTTTTAAACAGTGTACATAAGCAGAATATACACAGTTTAAAAATAATATTAAGTAGATTTCATTTTTATACGATAATTGAGATTTTATAAATATACATAAATTATGGGTTTTGTTCGCTTGCCTGCTGAATACACGAAGAATTAGCCCCAAATTTACAATAATTGGTTATAACTTGTTTTTAAATAGTTGATATGATTCGTAAAGTTGTGTCAAGTGTAGTTGTAAATGTCAACCGTAAGTGTTTTCTCTGCGGGTTTTTTCTGTCATGAAACTGTTTTTTCTATTCAGGCACATCATGTAGAAATATTTGTCTATTATATAATAATTCTGTTCGAACTATATTTACAAGTGCCGGTATCGGTATTGATAATTTTAAACAAAGTAGAGAAAAGCATGCAACAAGTTATGCACCATCGATTGGTAATTATCAAATTATCTTATGTTCCGTTATCGATTTTTCTCTATTTCTTGTAGAAGAATTTAAAAAACATTTTATAAAATCAATTCAAAATCCAGAAGCAAAAATATTCACTGAAGATCTTAGAAATATGATTATGTCAGCTGGTACTGACGATGAAATCGATGCTGTTGTTCAAGCACTAAGAAAGTAAATAGAAAAAAACGAATGTGTTAAAATCAAGTGAGAGCGTTCTTTTCCCAGTGTTCAGTATCCTCTTTGCTGAAATAACGAACGCAATCTTGTTTTTCAAACCTCAATACTTGAGATATTTAATGATTTTAAAAGAGATAAGCCTTCTTACAGCATCGGGTCACGTGACTTCTATCTCCAAAAGAGCAGTAGCGATGGATATTTTTCAGGTATTGTTTGATTAGAAATAGCGAGAGATGTGCGGTTTTCAGCATCTGTCTTGTAGCTAGATGTCTGACGCATCTTTCTGTGAAAAAAGAATGTTGAAATGCGCTCATGAAAACAGCTCTCAGAACGATGTTTGGAAAATCAGAGAGTTTTATAAGACGTTTGTTTTCGATTTAGCAAATGTAGTGCATACGAAAAATATCTTAGAGTGTTTTCTTTACATTTAAGTAAGTCCGCTCTCCGTTTATTATTTTCCTCAGATAATCTCAGTTTTTCTAAAAGTATCCAGAATGCATGTCTGAGAACCTCAAAGATGAATGGAACATAGATTAGTGACCATCTTGCATCAAGTGACAATGTTTATTATCGGATAAATGAGAAAACGGCTTTTGAAAAACATAAGCGATGTTTTGTTTAGAAAAAGTAAAAAATATATTGAATAAAATTTCTAGTCATAATACAAATATCAATACTGGAACAGCATCAATCATAGCTTTACTGGCTATACAACAAGAATGATTAGAGACAAATAAATGATATAGCATTACTGGATATATATGCAATTTTTAAAAAATCTCCTTGAGAGGCATCGGAGTTTTAGGACCTATTTTGTACAGCACATGAGTATTGTACAAATCTACGTGTGCTATCTATGTGTCATACCTCTTTCCTATCATCGGTCAAAACATTCTTCTCATCTCTGTCTTCATTATACAAGAAGTTTACAGAAAAAAAGAAACACACCTGACACATTCGATTTCTCTTTTTAATTTGTTATCATTCACTACATCAAGAAACCTCAGCGTTTTTGAGCTCGACTATGGTTTTTTACTCTTTTCGTTTTGTCTTTGTTATTTTTTTCAATTTTTATGCTATTAGTGGTACTATATTGTAGTGACGATTGTATCCACTTGCAACTAAAGACACTTGAATCAAAGAAAACACATTTGCCAAATCAAAAAAAAACGCCTTATAAAACTCTCTGATTTTTCAGACATCGTTCTGAGAACTATTTTCATGAACACATTTCAACATTCTTTTTTCACAGAAAGATGCGTCCGATATCTAGCTACAAGATAGATGCTGAAAACCGCACATCCCTCGCTATTTCTAATCAAACAATAGTTGAAAAGTAGCCATTTCTGCTTTATTTTTGTGGTGGTTGTGTGAAGGGTAGGATGAGTTAATGAGTAAACTATTAGAATTGCTACAAACAATTGAGATTTGTTCTATAGTTCGATTGTTAGTCGATCACTTTTACTTTAATGTCATACCTTTTTGTTTCTCTTTCACTTAAGATACACTTCGAAAAAGCAGTTGTTTAGTGATCATTTTGGTCCTCACATTATGCGACTACTCTATATTTACAATAAAACTGACTATGCCTTACAACTTTATATGGACGAAGTAAGAATTCATACATAGATATCTACGAATGATTACATATTTTGAATTTTTTCTTTATTTTTCGTGCAGAACTTAGGAGAAACGTTTAATGATTCAGTATCTACCCTTGTACTAATGAATAAATTACTTGAAGAAAAACGAGTTGACGATTGTGTTAAAGTATTTGAACATGGCATTAAACAAGGATTTATCATACAATCGGGAAAACCATATCCACAAGATGTTATCATGTTAGGAATTGAAGCACTCTACAAACAAGTAAAATGAACTGAATTCCTGCAGAAAACGTGCAACTTTATGGTTTTCTTTCTATTCTAGAATACAAAAGACTCTTTAGAAAAAGTAAAAAATGTATTGAATAAAATTTCTGGTCATAATACAAATATCAATACTCGAACAGCATCAATCATAGCTTTACTGGCTATACAACAAGTTGGTATTCATCTATTCATCTATTCAGCATTAATCAAAGATCTAATATGTCTAATTTTTGTTCAATAGGGCGAACCTGACTTCGCAATGGAAGTCGTGAGTTCAATTAGACAACAATTTTCGTCAACAGCTCAAAATCTTCGAGTGTGTATCTATGAAATTACTTTTTACAGCTTTGTTTACACGTTTTATTCTTCTAGGCCATATGTCTCGCTGATATGGGCCGTGTTGACGAAGCAATGAATCTCATTGAAGTTATTACTCCCCGATCGGATAACAGATCTGGTGATCTACGAAAACTTTTTCCATTAACAGTACGTGTTGTTGTATTTTTAAATTGAAGAATAGAACGCGCTGAGATGTGTATTATTCAATTTCTTTCTAGATGCATCATATACGTTTAGCAGCTGAAAAGTCGAAAGATGCTCAAACGATGAGTAAACTTGAAGATTTGTCAAAATATGTTTTATCAAACCAATGGTTGAGTCAAATCGATTTCCCTGAATATATTAATGAGCCAATGGGACGTCGTTTTCTATTTAAACAATCACAAACATCATATCAACATCAACAGCAGAGACCGCCATTTGTTTCAGCTTATAGACAACAGTATGGAAATAGAAGAGATTTTGATGGACAACCGCAACCATTGAATAATAATCGAAGAGGTGTATTTGGACAACATCAACAAGGCGGATTTGCATTTAACCGGAGTTTCGGAGGTGGTTTTCAACCACGACAAGAATATGGAAATGAAAACAGAGACGATTTTGAATTGCGAAGTCAAAAAGATAATAGAATGAATAGTAGAAGTAAGTGGATAATGAAGTGATTATATCGTCTTGCTCGTGTTCTTAGAGTACTGATCTCCTGTGAATATGATTATTTTTAACCAATCGTCATTTTTCTGTTATATTTTTTTTATTTTCTTATTTTCGATAAAGGTTATCAGCGAGATATAAGAGATAATTACAGCCGCGGATCATCTCAGCGACGATATTCTGATCGCGAGCAACAATTCGATGATAATGATGGAGAAAGAAGAGAAGGAAAAGTGGCTATGGGAATGAATCAACGTGCTAATTCAACATCTCAAACAAGTGAAAGAGGTTCTCGACAACCACTAGACTTTGGCAGTCGACCAGATCAAATAAGACGTAATTTAGCATTACGATCATCCAGTAGAAGAGCTGGGCAAACATCAACTCCTACATCACTTGAACTTGGTCCTAGTACAACATCATCAATTCCCACCGCTCAAAAATCGAGTGTTTTAGTCAACAGTCGAAAGTCAATCGTGAGTAATGAAGACGATCAAAACGAAGTTGATGATGGATTTGAACCAGCACCTGTCACCAACCAACAAGAAACGAGAAAACCACAAACTGATAGAATGGCTACAGCCCGCTGAAATGATTAAAAATGAAACTCTGATGTTTGTTTTTCTAACCGTGCTGCGGTGTGATTGTTTTTCTGTTTAGTTTTATTCTTCTGTTTTTTTATAGGCACATATTTGTATATTATTGTTACTTGTGTTTAAAATCAAAATAGTTTTTGAATATTGAAAACCTATGCATTTTTTCTGTTTTCATCTTTTGTAGAACAATATAGAAAAAAGAAAATATATACTGGATATATACAGTATCCCTCCAAGAACTGATTTTGTCTTCAAAATATAGAAAAAACTGGTGAATGCTTGCGTATTATACATGTAATTCAATTGGATGCAACAGTATGTTGAAAATGAGGAAAACATAAAGATATAAGCGCGAGAAAACGTACTCTTTTGATCTAAAACCAAGATAAGTAAGTGCATTTTATGATATGTTTTGATATAATTGAGAAACATTTATAACAATTCATTTTCCGAAAATGTTTTTCAATTATATTAAATATACTTAATTTTTTTAAAAACGTAAAAAAAGTAAAAAAACGTTAACATATTTTTGGGTTTGTTTTAGACTTAATAATGGCTTTTGTGTCGTATCTTATTCTTTATTTTATGATTTTCTTGTATGTTTTTGCGGGTATAACCCATTTTACTAATCCGTCCTTTTTTACAAAAATCATGCCATGGTACTTGAAACAGTATGATTTAGAATTAGTTTACATAAGTGGTGCGTGCGAAATTTTGTTTAGTCTTCTACTTTTATCAAAATCAACACGATCAGTGGGTGCATGGTTGATTATTTTACTTTTAATTGCTGTTTTTCCTGCTAATATACAAATGATGACTGATTATTACAATGATCAAAATCCATACCTATGGCTAACAATTGTACGCTTACCTATGCAATTTTTGCTTATGTGGTGGGCATATTTATACACTAAACCAATATTGAACAAACAACATATTAAATAACATGTAAGTATTTTTGGCATCTTATCTAAAAGAAAATCTAGTTTGGTTTTACTAATCCTCGTGATGCATAAAAAAATATAAATTTGGTGAAATTTTCAGATTATATGAAATTATTTCTTTTTTAACACATGATTTTATTTTTATTTGTTTTTGCACTGTCATATGACAAACAGTTTTTTCAAATGTTTAGTATTTTGTTTAATTTTGTTTGTACTAGTAAAAATCAATGCCACATTACACATGCCGTATTGATTTATCTCGATGCGGTGTTCTGCTTGCAAAAAAAAAATTTCAAGAGTGCATTCGAGAAAAGGTTTTGGTATTGACGATACTGATCAATGTTCGGTCGATGCCATTTTTGATGTACTGATCAAAATCGCACTAGTGCGATCACATGCCATTGATGTGCATCGACAATGCCTCGTAAATCTTGAGAGATTTGAAATCTAACATTTAATCGGGTAATCTGTTTTAGACGGAAACAAGGAAACCTTAATTAACAGAACTATGAACCCTGATAATCTTACATTAGAATCAGTGCTACTGTTTCTGTCCATAGCAGTTATTAGGTCGACTGAGTAGAATGAAAAGACACTTATTGCTTTTTATCAGAAAAGTGATTTATTTCTCTCTTTCCATATTGTGTTTCCTCTTTCGAGTCAACCATCTGTGGAAAAGTTGGTTCGAATATCCGAAAGTTGTAGATAAGATATCTGCAATTAATTTTTGAAATACGTTCGAGTTGATTCACAATGAGTCCTCAAAGGTGAGCATTTTAAGAAAAAAATTGTTTTCTCTAGGGGTTAATTAATGATCACTTGATATTTGACGCTGTTGCACTACATTGTTTGAGCACAGAATGAATCAGTAACTATTACACTAGATAGCATATAGTCTAAAGAGTAAAAGAATTGTTACAGCTGTTTTCTATGATGTGAATAAAATGCAAATTCAATCTGAACTGTGAGTGTTCCAATGTCAATAAGTTTCGTTTCACTCAGTCAATTTCTAGTCTTCAAGGAACATAGTTAGTCTCTATTTTTCTTTTTTCCTCTCACATTTACAAGCCCTTATTATTGTTTACTATTTTTCAGATTATTTATTATTATTAGAATGTAAATGTATTCGTCATTTATTATTTTATTATTTTTATCTCTAAAAGTAATTTTAACAATTTCAGATGATCCAAATAGATTACCAACAAAATGTGAAGGTATTTAACAGTTATCTTGAATCGTGCAATATATTATATTTTGTTGATTATTATTTTAGTATGTAAACTATTAGCACAAGAACTAACAGACAATTTACAAGCTCATGGTAGTCATGAAGTAATAGATACAGGTTATTCGTTAGATGATCGCTCAAATGCGAAAAACAAAAAGAAATATAGTGAATCGTAAGTGAATATTTGAATTATACTGCCGCCATGAATCGAATCTTCTTCGAGTAACGCGAAAATTTCAGTACAATCCCATAAATTAGTAGAAAAGACTATTTGAGCCCTCAAAAAAATTTCGACAACAACTATATTATCGCTGTTCGTTCGATTCAATAGGCTAAAGTTAACTCCACAAATTGTCAAACGAAAATACTTTCGTCTCGCTCATAAAATATTTTATAATGGAAGTCTTGTTTCAAATATGAATTTAATTAATCTCCTTATTTCTCTGATAATGTATTCGACTCTTTTAAGTCGAATGTAGAACAATGATATTGGTGTGTTTTCGAAATATTTTTTTGGTTCAAATAATCTTTTCTACTAACTATGGGAATATACTGAAATTTTCATTTTGCTCGGAGAAGACCCAATGTAACCTTTTTTATTGTTTTTTTAGTGAAACTCGTTTGATAGAAGTACTTGAAGGTGTCTGCGAACGTTTTCTACATTATAATGTCCATGCTGAGAGAAAAGGTAGTTTAAGATATGCAAGAGGAAGATCTCAAACTATGCAAACATTATGGAATTTAAGGTATACATTTCTTATTTCATCTATCAAATATCTAACGTCATTTTATTGTAGAAATAAAGGCGTCAAAGTTGTGCTTGATATACCGGATAATTTATGGGATGTACCATCGGCTGAAATAACCCAATTGAAAAAATATGTACGTTGTGTCTTACATCATCCTCTATTTAAACTAAATATTTTTTTCATTTTCTGTTTTAGTGTGAAGAAATGCTTGAAGAAAATGAAGAATTGATTGAAACATGGTATTTTGATAAGCAAAAGGTTTCATTAAATAAATATCTATGCGAGGAAAATGTTTTAAAAAATGATGATCCAAGTAAGATAGCAAATATTAAATAAGATTTTTATTGATTAGCTTGTTTATCTTCTAGGTTGTTTGTATGAGGTATTTACAGGTGAAGAGGAGAAAGAAGATTCTGATGTACAAAAAAAGACAAAAGGTGATATGGGTGGGAATGAGAAGAGTGAATTATGAATAAGATAAAAGCAATACTCAAATTAGTCAAAATTTTGTTTCTGTTTTTTTTTATTAGTAAATGTTGAATTCTCTTTTTTGGAAATGACTTTGTTTCTTTGTATAAGACATTCTTTTCTGTGTCAGTAAATTGGTGCTAGTAACGAATAAATATTAACTATTGTTGTATCATTCTTTATAAATCGAATCTTTCTTAAATGACGATTAGCGTGTTAATCATGATTAATCCACTCATATCACATCTTAATTGTGATAAATTTTATGTATAATTAATCTTAATTATGATTAATAGCGTAGTGTGACGTCAGCATAATAGTTTATTTTCGTTTTTTGCAGAATTGTTCATATAATGTAGGAAGACAAAAGTCGAAAGAAAAAGCATGAAACAGAGAAGCATAGAAGATCTGTAATATTTCAAGTTACTATGTCTTTCAACACCGTAAAAGTAGAAGAAAAGAAATTATTGAAAATAAATATTGCACATAGAAAGAGAAATGAATATTTTATATATTTTTATATTGAAGATCTGCATAAATAGCAAAGTGATTAGATGGAAAATTTTGGTGTTCTTGATATTTACAAACTGTTGTGCTTTTAACGTTAAACGTATCTTTTATAATGTAAACAAAATCAATTTTTGATCCATAGCCTTCCTTTTTAAACCCATTAAATGTTGATACATTGGATAAATATGGATTCATGATGAGAAATGTATCAACAAAAGTTGCTACTTTCATTTGTAATGCTTCTGAACATTGTTCACCTAATTGAGTTAATTAATTTACTGGTATAATGCCTTCAACATCCTCCAGTCATTAATTAGAATTTTCTGTTACTAAATTTTGTTCATTGGCATGTTGTTTTTGAATATGTTCAAGTAATACAGGTTTACTGTGTTTTGTTGCAATTGCACATGGTCAAACGAGATGAAGATTATATAGAATAAGTTTTTGTTTATTTATATTATCAAGAAGTTCAGCACACTGACATGCTTTTGGCGTTTAAGTCCCCTCTTCCCGCAAGATTTTCTTTCACGTTCCAGAGTTTTTATTGAACCAAAATAAATCCGTTTTTTTGACAATCAAATTGATCATCGTATAAAGTATAGCATTCGTAATTTCGTGATTATCAATTTTTCACCAAGCATTTTCTAAGTATCATTTTTAATTGATAAGTTTGTCAAGAAATGAAGTTCTTAAATTGTATGTTACTATACGAATAATATCTGAACGAGCCATATCTATACAAAAGAAGATATATAATATCAGGAGACCGCATACTTCAATATTCTTATGTAGAAGTAGAGCACTCATACAACATATTCAACTAACACAGAGATCAGTAACTAACTGTCATTGTTTACAAATACGGTTGGCTCGTTTTTTAGTAGAAATAGCTATTTTTGTGCCAAGTCCAAAGCGAGATTGTCTTGCTGGTCAATCTGCTCCAATTTTTTAGATTTCTGATGAAGTTTTATTTTTAAGTAAATCGAAACTAGCTGATACAGATCTTTTTAATTTACAAGTAATGCAACAAGAGATAGAGAGAGAAAGAAGGAGATTAAACTGATACTTGGACTTGTTCTTACAAAGTCCTGTTATCCTTGATCTACGGTAGGTTGGCAAGAGAGTAGTCAGGATCCGATTCAAAAATATCTAACAATCCCCTATTATTCGTTATCCTTAGTTTTCATCCTCACCCTCAAGATGCTTTGTGGAACGAAATAAGAAAAAAGCGTTTCTCTGGTTTTCTGAGAAGAAACGATTCGTTTCCTAATTGAAATCGATTGAAGGCGATTGATATTAGCAAAAGTCGATTTATATGACATTGGTTTTTAAGCAATTTTAATCAACAAAAAATGGTATTATCGCTGTACAGCGGCTGTACTGAAATTTAGGCTGTACTACAGCCTAAATTTCAGTCGACAAAAATTGATTTGCATTCAATTGGACGATCCAATGAGAAAGAATTATTAAGTAAGTAAAAGAGATCGCTATTTATTTTGAAAGAAAGAAGTATTACGTTTATATGGGCGTTTAAGACATCACTTGAAGAGACCCAAAATTAAATTAGCTTCTTTTTTTTATTTTTGTGAAATAAATAATTGAAGTTCAAGAAAAAGCTTGCACATTTTAATACTACTGTAGCCATGGTGGCTTTGCTTGAACCTTCATGCGCCGATTATGACATCCACAGGCGGGTCGACACCATTTTTGATCCGAGGCACAGTGACTATCGTTCGTACAACAATTGGAATTGTTTTCACACACAGGTGCGCAGCCTGCGGCACAAAACAATACTGGCATTTATTTTGGACAAAAATCTCAAAGGGACATTATTTTTATTTTAGTTTTTACTGAAGGAAACTCACCGTAATGGACCTCCTCAAACTATCTCTGTTTCAGTGCCTCGCCACCTGAACAAAACAATAGAAAGAGCAAGCGCATAGAGAGAAAACGCATTATTTTAGTGGTGTGCGTTCAGTATGTGAAGTGTGAGAATGCCAGTTCTGGTAAACGGCATCTGTTTTCTTTTCCTTCTTTTCAATCAATTATCAAACGCTGTTGTTTGGTCCATTTTTTGCTTATCGTTGCTTGTACGTGGAAGACGTGGAGATAAAAATAAAATTAGGTCACGCCTTCGTTTTTTTAGATGTGATGTGTCATGCACAAGACAAGGCTTATTTGTTTATTTAAAAATAACGTTGTAAATAAATAATTTTGTTATCTACAACAATAAACAATTTTGACAGACGATTAACCACCCAACAACTATTCACCAGTAATATATCAACGAATTGTAATGTTGCTCTTTCTTTGAATAATTATATGAGAGCAAATTGACTTTTCATCACTTCACTTAATTCTATAATCATGTATTATGCTTTTTTCGTGTTTTTCCTTTAGAATATAATCGATGCTTCTTCGTTGAGATAAACAATATGTAGAAGAATAGATATATTATTAGTTTTGTTCAAAGGACAGGGGTGCATTTGAGTGAGAATTGGCCCACTCGTATTTTTCCATTCCAATGACCGAATTATTAGAAAAGTCACGTTTCTATTATTCTCTGTCATTCTCGAGTGAAAAAAATAAAAAAGGGTGAAAAAAATGTTTTTCCATTATCATCGTCGGGCTATCCCATCTAATTAGTAATTTAATTATTTCTCTTGACTAAAACAATAGATAAGATTCATTTCATCATTGCTAGATAGACGATGAAAAACTGAATTGAAAGGCACCCAAATCATATCTTCGCTGCTATTTGTTAAAAAATGGTAGACCAAACTTTTATATAGTCACATACTTAACAGGATACAGATTCACAAAATTTGAATTCTTTTGTGCACTTAAAAGTCTGGTTGTCATCTCCGTTTATATATATTTCGATAGCTCTTGAAATTCTCTACAAACTAAACTAGTTAGCATGTCTCGACTGGTTGGACCAGTCAGTTGATAATAGGATTTCTGAAAAACCTGGCCGCTAAAAAACCAAGTCTTTGGTTTTTGGTCAGAAAATTTTACAAACCATATGACCTGATAGAGCAACGAAGTCTGAGCAAAATATGATATGTTCCGGCTGTCTATAACGCTTTTTCACCCAACTGCAGTCGAGTTACGAATGACTGCAAAGGCAGTGGAAATTACCAAAATATTCCAATCAAAAAGCGTTAAAGACGGCCAGAAGACATCATATTATGTTCAGAATTCGTTGCTCTATCAGGCCATATGGTTTGCAAAACTTTCTGACCAAAAACAAAGACTCGATTTTTTAGCAGTTAAGTTTTCCAGAAATCTTGTTATCAAGTTTTCCATAAAATGGTGATATGCACTACATCTGATAGAAAAATCTTCAGGCTATCCAAAACAGTTTTCAGATTGGTTCCAGGAATCAAAAACAAAGGAGCTCTTATGATTATGACACACTGTACTGCATATATAACGCCCAAACGCTTCTTTTGCATATCTTTAATGATTGACGCCACCTATCCAGATTTTCTGACCAGTCCAATTTGTAAGGAATTTCACGGATTATCAAATGGTATCCTTTTGCAAATTAAGGTTTATCATTAGGACAGAAAAGACTTCTAAAAGAGTATTCTGCAACTGTTTTCCGTAGTCCAATACGTTTTTTGCATGTCTTTGGTAACTGACCCAACGAGTCAAGATATTCTGACTAGCTCAGTTTGTAGAGAATTTGAAGAGCTTTCTAATGGTATATTTTGAAAAATATATAATTTTTCATTATGACAGAAAAAATGACTAAAGGAGTGTGCTGCACGTATTTTTCGTACTACAACGCTTCTTTTACACCTTTGATGACTGGTTTAACCAGTCGAGACATGCTAACTAGTTCAGTTTATAGAGAATTTCAAGGGCTATCGAAATATATATATAAACGGAGAACCTTTTTGTATCACTATTACGGTCTTGTTCCTAAGCCTTTGATTTTCGATATTTCTGAAAAGTTTCAAATTTTGATTTAATCTTCCTTTTAATCTGTTGTTGAGCTTTTTGAAGAACAAGATCCCAATACAGAAAGGTTAAAAACCGGACTAGTCACCTTACCGTCTTGTTTCTGTACCACTATTAAAGAGAAGAAATAGAACAAAGACTTGTGCCATATATAAATATATATATATATGTCGTGTGCAGTAGAAAATTAAAAGTTGTACTTTCTGTCTGATGAAGTTAATCTGAGATCAACGAAACGTCACAATTGAATTTAAATAAAGTGATTAGGAAGAGAAAATTCATTATATCTGACTTATCAACCTTCCTTACAAGAAAAGAAGGTATATATTCAGCAATATTTTTGATTTCCGGACTTGTAGATTTTGAGAAAAAAATTTCTGAAGTTTTTTCCGGACTTTTTATCCAAATTTTGAAATTTGAATAAAATCTTTAAATTTCTAAATGTAGACTTGTTTGTTGCATCATCAGATAGAGGACATCAAGTTGTATACAGAAAAAAGTGTTCATCGTTCCAGGAAGAAATTTGACGAAGGAATTCAACTTTTACCTTGTCGGCGAAATTTTAGGGCTAAAAGTATTTTGAAAAAACCTTGCCTGTCGTTTCTCAAAAAGGAAGCGAAGCAAAAGTGTGGCTGCTTTTTCTATGCAATACGACTTTGCTTGCTCAAACTTCCCTAAACTGAGCTTAAGGAATTTTGAGCCAGCAAAGTCGTATTGCATAGAAAATGACATTCTGAACAACTTTTGTCCACATTTTTGCTCCAAAATGATTTTTTTCTGTTAGCTAAAAATTAGAGAAATTTTTGAATTTTGAATTTTTTAGTTAAATTTTCCACGTATTTTTTTCAGTCTTTATTCAAAAAGGTTAAACGTACGATAAAAAAATTTTCTTTCTAATGTACAGGAGGATAATCAGACGTGGAATATTCAAAATCACAATCAACATAACTACTACAATCACAAAGATATATGATAATTGTATTATTAAACAAAACATTTTGAAAGATTTCACCGTTTTACAATACACCATGATTTTTTTAAATGATGTTCATTTGATAATTTCTTCTTTGATAGCTATTCGAGTGCAGTTCTAAACTGACATTTTTAATTACAAAAATAATGTTCTTCTTTTATTCATTTTTGTCTCTAATGTAAAAAGAAGAGAAAAATGACATTCATTTTTTTTGTAAATTATATAACAACCTTCATAACAACGGAACTGAACAAAACACACAACAACACTAGACAAAAAGAATAGAAACAGAAAATTAAATTTCACATAAATTTTCATTAAAATAAAGAATGAACAGAAATTTCAAATAATTTTTTTTAAAAAAATGTCTCAAGACAGTCTCTTTCCACAACCAAATGTGAGACAATCTCTTGAAAATGATATAATTGAACAAAGAGTGATGATGACGCACGTACATCATTACCTATTTAAAACGTTTTATTCTTTTCTTCTTTTGATTTAAACAAAAATAAGTGATAAATATTTTATCACCAAAATAGAATGATGACAAAATATTTCATAAATTTTTTTTTTCTATTCAAATTTTTATCTCAATTTAAAACTTTCATTTTAACTATCAAATTTGAAACCAAGTAAAAGTCATCAAATGCATGAAATGAAATTTTAATTGAGTAAGTAAATGATAATTGTCAAAAAGATAATTATTTTGTGCTAGAGTAGTATCTCTTGCCCAAATACTTAGTTGGTATTCTTTGTTAATTGAGCCGCCTCGTTATTGTGTTACTAAATCTTATAGATAAAGGAAATAAAAACTGTGGCAAGGTTCGCTGTACTTTTGAAGTTGATAAAAAACTAAGTGAATAATAGCTATAATCATAGTAAAAAGCTTCGTGTTACTTGAATTTTGACAAGATAAAAAATGTTTGATAGTTGTGAATTATTAAAATTTTAATATATGATTTAGACTGTTTGAATGATATTGTAATAATATGACTGCTATTGATTTTCTTAATAACAAATTGTACAAAATTCTAACAGAATCTTATAATGAACAAACTCTATCAGAACTAATATCATGTCTTCATGACGAACCAGAATTGACCGAATTAACTCATCCTAAAAATGGTTCTTATCTCCATTTAATTATTGAACGTTGTGATTCAACAGACGAGTATGTTGATATAATTCATGAATATACTCATTTTTCTATTAATTTTGTCTCATTTATTTAGTGTATCATATCGTATGATATATGCGGTGAGTAATGCTGGAGTAAATCCGAATGTAACAAATGTTCGTGGGAATACACCTCTTCACGAGGCATTGATTCGTGGCTATTTGGATGTTGGAGGAGATGTAATACAGGTATGTCCATCTTTATCCTCGTCATTGCATACTATTTTCTTCCATATCTTAGGCTTTATTTCGTATTGGTGTCGATCCACGTATAAAAAACAAAGAACAAAAGACAGCAGACTGGTATTTGGAAGATAATACACAGTTAGTGTCTCTTTATGAAGCATACGGTCAAGGAATATGGGCAGCTATCGAAGAAAATAATTTCAAACTAGCAGAAAAACTTATCAAAGGTATTCTCACAATCTACTACTATCTGTCCATTAAAAAAACGGCTGATCATCATTTTTTGCATAACTCAGAAGATAGAGATCTACGGTTTTTACCATTACTTCAGAATATTCGTGAGAGAACATAGTTTTCAGATCATCTGTGGAAAACTTGTTTATGGTTCTAAAATTATAAATAACAATATATTCATTTTTTTGTAGGTATAGATAGTCTAAAGTATCCTCTTTAAAATGAAAGTTAAGCGAAACCTTGCTATTGCATCGTTGAGCCGTAGTAATGGGTTTCATCGAAGCCTCAGAACTGGTTTACCATCACGTAGTATGATGAAAAGCATATGGAAGCATAGATTATCGACTACGCTCGACCTCGTAGCGTAGTTTACTAAACTACGCTACGAGGTCGAGCGTAGTTAAAATTGATGGATAACATGAACAACATAAAACATGATGGATAGATGATCTATCCATCATGTTAACCATGTAGAATAATAGATAAGTCTTTTGCCGTTGAGTTATGCAAAAAATGGTCATAGACTTTCTCTTAACGTACAAACAGTAGTTCGTCGCACTCTTATTCTGTCTGTGAAGAAATTAATCTCTCTCACTTTCGTTGCTATTGAAATAACTAATTTATTTAGGTTTTATAAAAGTTGATTGTAAACATGTTTCAAGTTCAAACACATTGTTAGAAAAAGCTCAAGAATTAAAAAATCTTCAATTAATTAATCTGTTATCTGAATATCAAGTAACAAATGAATTTGTTCATTCAATATTGGCTAATGATTTTGATCGTATGTTACTAATTCATAAATATCAATTTCAATTTATTAAAGTAAATGCATATGATTCTCTCTTAACTCGAACATGGTATACGACATCCAACAGAACCATACCACGTTCACTACTCGAAGTCGCTTTGCAAACACAATCACCGATACCTGTCACACCATTACTCGAATTAAAGGCTGATGTCAATGTATTAGGAAGTGATGGTTATCCACTATTTTTTCATGCATTTGCCAAATCAATGACAACAATTCGAACAAACATATTAGAACATGCAAGAATTAATACAAAAAGTTTTAAAGGAGAAACAATATTATTTTATCTAATACATCTGGCTTGTAAGGATAAGTATTCTATTCAAAATGATTCTTACTTTCGTGATATTATTTGTCAGCATCCACTGCTGTTAGCTGATCGAAATGAAAGTGGGCGAACTATTATTGATGAAATTGAATTGACCCCCGCTCCATGGTATGATAAATTGAAAGTATTTCGTCGTACAATTGATGATTGTTTGTTTGATTTGATGAAAGAAAAATTGGTTATTGAAAAATTGCTGCTTGCCGGTTTTGGATGTCACTTACTGTTGGTTCGAAGCAGCGCAACGAATAGTGAAACATTATTACAACGAGCAGAATATTTGGGTTTGAAGAATGTTGTTGAATGTCTAAACACATTACCAAAATATGGTTTATCAGCAATGATAACTGATTTACGACAAGCAGTTCGAATGGATGATCTGACGAGAATACAAGATCTATTCTCTGTCAAAGATAATATACATTATTCTAAAGATTGGAATGGTAGAACAATTGCTCATTTAGCAATTCTTTATAAAAGGCCTACGATACTTCAGTAAGTGCTATTTTAGATTTAATACATATTCGGAGAAATTATAACCATTGTTTTATCTTCATATCACTAATTGTCTATTGATTGTTTAGGTATATTGGCGATAATCGTAGTGTTACATTCAGTTTAAAAGATAATTTGCATCGTACTCCACTTCATTATGCTTATATAATGAATGACAAAGTATCAATCAATATTTTACAACGGGCTGGGACAAAAAAAGTAAGATTTTCTAACATATAAATATGTGCGTGATTTGCTATTGTACCATTAATATTGTATATATAAAAAAGATAATTTGTTTTACCGAATTCATGTCACTTATGCTTTCGTATTTATTGAGTGAACTGACTGCTACACAAAAAATTAGATTTATGCCTCATATCACTATTGAATAATGATTCGTCAGACAGAAAAGATCGCGATTATGATGTTATACCTGATTAGGGTTGCTACCATGCGGCTCCGCTTATTAGGATCACATCATAATTCAACAAAAAGAAACTCCTTAAATTATTCTGTTAATTCAATTTTCTATATCTTTTTCTGCCATTTTTTAAAAAATAAAAGCCAATTGACCGTGCCAATTGCGTGAAGAATCTTCTATTTATTGACGGATACCTCCAAGAACATATTCGTAGTAAATTAGTTCTACGTTTTCAACAAGTATTTGTACCGTTTTTCAGATGCTTAAAGGCGACAATTCTGCAGTTAATGCAAAAATATCCGTTTTTCCAAAAAAGCAGTTTACAATAAAACTGCATTTTCAACAAAGAATAAGGCTCCACAAATGAATTATTTTCATATTAATTAACTCCTTACCTTTTAACAAACTATTTCGATCTGTTTTAGCATAACTTCATTTTTCTGAGATGTTTCATAAATTGCGGCATAAATCACTCATATTTGCGTCTTCTTTCGGCTCGTTTAGTTTCGTGATTGTAAATATTTATATCCTGAAGATTATTTAGCCAAAGATGTATGTAGTGATGAGTTTCATTCATCTGGTTTTGTTAACGGTGATGAATTAGAACGTCGGTATGGTATAGGTGATTATGTTAAAGTTGCATATTATGAAACAATAAAAACAGCGATCGAAACAAATAACGTTGAGCAACTGAAAATGATGAATTCAGAATTGGAACAATTCGGCTTCACTATCAACGATTTTAATCCGATGTCATATATAAAAGATTGGATTCGCGGACAGCGATATGTTCCACCGTTATTTATTGGTCTTGAGGCACGATCATTAGCATCACTGTATTGCCTATTAGAAATGGGCACTGTACCAACTGGAAATATGTATGTACTTGATAATGACTACGGCGCAGGTGTCAGTAGCGGCGTTTCTTCATCGTCTCATCAATCTCGCTGTATATCATTGCGTGGCCGAGCAGAAGAATTAGAATGTTTTGATATCGTCGGGATGTTTAACGATTTAGAAGATGATAGTGAACTCAAAGCGGTTTTGAAACGTCAATTACCGCCGTCATCAAGAGCAAGTACGAATTCCGATTATGATGTAGACGAACAAAAAAAAAATCCATCAACAACGTTAACATTACAATATTTAAATACTTATAAATTACCAAAGCGAAAACGAACACCAGGACAAGGACAGATTTCACAACGACAGACGCAAACAGCACAAAATGAACATCAAAAATCACAAGCTTGTATTATACTATGAGTTTGAGACACATCATGATTGTTTGATAATGAATATATCGCTTGTAAAGTACTTGATTGTAAAAAAAGTCTCATAAATAAATCTTTATATCTTTTTCCATTTTAAAACAAAAAAGCTTCTACGTAGTTTAACGGTGAAGCAGAAGAAAAAAATTTCCATAATATAAAACAGCTCTTACGTGTAATGAATGCTTAACACAGTCTCAATTGAGCTCAAACTTTGCACATAAGTTCTTCCATTCATCTTAAACGTATAATATTAGCGAAAAGATGCATACGTTTGTCTGCACTTAATGACAGGTTTTCTAAAAAGCGTTGGATTTCACGTAAATCCTTTTTTCTCGTTTTAAAAACACTTTCAGTCAAAACAAGTTACATGCTCAGAATCAGCGTAGAGAACTGCATCGTATAATATAGTTCTCAAACATTTTTTGAAGAGGAAACCTTGCCGGGTGTTGAACTTCGCTTTCAATGATACTGATGCCGATCGACAGAGGATAGGATCCTAGTAAAAAGTTTAAAAGGATTTGAGTTCTTGCTGTTTCTTTCAAAAATACCGGGACATACGGTAGCAACAAAAATTTCGTAACTCAGTAAAAACAGTGAGCTAAGAGCTGAATTTTTTTTCTCTATTTATTCTAACAGTCTCCTAATAGCACACGAGGTTTCATCCTTTCAACACTCTTAATCAAGAAGTAATCAAATTTTTGCTTTGTTAGAGAAAATCATGTTTTTCAAAGTAATACGAAGACACGTATCTCTTAAATATAAAATAAAGAGGTTACAATAAACTGATGGGACAGGTGACCGGTGGTCGCTCCGACGAGTATCAGGGACCCGTGACTCCTTTTCGCCACGTAGAGGTCTCTCACCATGGAAAGATTTTGTGTTTTTTTTATTACTGCCTTGAACATAGGAACGGATAACAGCTCAAAATAAGAACAGAAACAACAGCTTGATTGTTGAATAAATTCTAAATAAATGTCTGCTTAACCGCAACGATAATAAGGAGATGAAGTAGAGAAGCTGGAATAATATTGAAAAAAATTTGTTTTTATTTATGTTTCTTATTATCGTTAGGGTTATAGAGACATTTATTTAGAATTTATTCAATAATCAAGCTGTTGTTTCTGTTCTTATTTTGAGCTGTTATTCGTTCCTATGTTCAAGGCCTCTACGTGGCGAAAAGGAGTCATCGTTCCCTGATACCCGTCGGAGCGACCACCGGTCACCTATCCCATCAGGTTATTGCCTAACCTCTTTATTTTATATTTAAGAGATACGTGTCTTCGTATTACTTTGAAAAACATGATTTTCTCTAACAAAGCAAAAATTTGATTACTTCTTGATTAAGAGTGTTGAAAGGATGAAACCTCGTGTGCTATTAGGAGACTGTTAGAATAAATAGAGAAAAAAAATTCAGCTCTTAGCTCACTGTTTTTACTGAGTTACGAAATTTTTGTTGCTACCGTATGTCCCAGTATAAGCAAACAAAAAATAATTTGTAACTTTTGAAAGAAGTAACAAGAATTCAAATCGTTTTAAACTTTTTACTACTGTAGGATCTTATCCTCTATCGATCGGCATCAATATCATTGAAAACGGAGTTGAACATCTGGGAAGGTTCTCCCGTGAGATATTTGTCTCCTGTCAAAAAATTTCGGCTAGAATTTCAGTCATTTTTTATTAAAAACTAAAAGTTTTTAGATTAAGTTTTTTCTTGCGAGAATAGTATTTTCAGATATAGAGAGTCATTCTAAGTGACCATTTTTGACGATGTCCACCTAATGAATGAAAAAGGATCATTGTGTGCTTTTAGTTCTTGAAATAGATGAAGATGTAAGATAAAATAATAATAATAATAGAATAAATAAAGATGATTATATTTTTCTTGAAATTTAGGGTTAAGATGTTGTTCAATCAGACAAATAACTAATACTTTTTTTCAAATCTTTCCAAAGTTGTTGATCGAATGTAACATTCGCTGTCAAGTTATTCCCTCTGTATTGTTAATCATGTGAAATATTGAAAACTCATTTTTCACAATAATTTTTCAAGTTAATGTGAGATTTTAAACTAAAAACACGTTGGATCAATAATAATCAATCAAATGACCTTTATATTTTTCCAATAACAAAGACCCTTTTTTTTTAGTTAACAGAGAACAATTACAAATGTGCTTCTGTTGCAAAAAAAAATCTCTGTCAATAAGTGACAATAATCAGACATGAAGGAATTGGATGGAAAAAGAATAGAAAAATGTATATTCTAATTAATTATCGTCAATTGATTTTTCAAGTGTGATAGAAATGTCAAGCACGAGGAAGAAAATTTCAATCAAATGTTTGGCATCTTTATCTTGTTGCTGATAAAGTTCATGTTGACATAATTTTAACAACCATTCTACTTGTGTCCTTCCTTACTAAGATAAGACAACAATGTTGTATAATCAGAAACAAAAACTGCTGATTTAGTCAAGAATATTTATTTATTATGCAATTGAATTAAACACAAATCGCCTAGATAAAATGGAATAATATAAAAGTATATTTGTCAAAAATCTGCTAAAGAGAGAAATGTTTTTGTTATATAAATATTTTAGAATGAAAGATTCAGATATTGGATAAGCCCGAATAGTAGTCATTTGTATATGTTTGCATTTGATTAGAATGAAATCCACGTTCATTTTACGGTTTACATAAATACTTATGTGAGACAGGCGTACATATGTATGTATCTAACGTACATCTCTTATATTTAAAGGTTAGAAACGCGTGATATAGTCAGTCAGTCAGTCTACAGCTGTTAATGCAGTCGACTATGTCTAATTAAAAAAAAAAGAGAGAGAAAGAATGAAAACTAAAACATTTAGCTTGAGGTAAAATGAAGTCTCAGTTTTCTTGTAAATAAAAATCTGTGTTGTCTCGAATATTAACTTTAGAGTGATACTTCACAATAGTTCATATTTATTAATTTTTTATAGAATCATTCTTATCTATGTATAGATTACCTATCAAATTATTATGCAAAATTAAGAGTTGAAGTCAGCTGCTGTTTTAATTCACAACTGTTACATGGTCGCAGACAGGGATGTCTCGGTTCACGGGCATGCCTTTTCTTTTTAGCAAAAACTCCTTTTAATCCTTTTTCTCTATTATTTTCATGTAAAACTCTATCAATAACTAATTAAAATTATCAAATCCAGAATAATTAGAATGCAAATTTGGTGACAAAAACCACACTAGTATTTTTTTAATCTCTTATCAAGTATACTATAATGTCGTTTGTTGTTTTTGCACAAATTAATTCACCCTAGAGTATAAACAGGTTCAAATATATATCTATATGTATATCATTTCTTTTGTACAATAATTAAAAGAAACAAAAACACAACTTTCATTTTCTAATGAAATGTATGTTCATCAAACGAGAAGAGAAGATATTGTCCAGAAGGCCACCGTATATACAATCGTTATTATAGTCAAGTGAAATGACATTATTTTTGCTTGATTACTTCCGGAATATTTTCATTTCCTGACTAAAATAGCGGCTTCTTTTTCTTTGGTCAAGCATATCCACATTCAACACAGCAACACCCATAATGCACATAAATATAAGCGCATGTCAAACAATAAAAGAAATTAATTTTGCCCAAGGCGAATTAGGAAAATATATGTCATTTTAGACGAGTGAGAAGTAATAATTATAGATTATATTGAAATCAATCCTTTGAGTAGAAAATCTGACTGTGTGATCAACCTTGACTTCTAGTTGTTCATATCACTTGTTCCTGTGATATCGTAAAGATTATCGAAAGAATCAAAGACAATCTTTCTAGAAGAGAGTGAGCTGAGATCAACGGACGTCGTCGTGTTCGAAATGTTCAATATAAACATGGCCAGGATGTAGTTTTGAAGAAATTTTATCAAGATTTTGGACTTTTTGTCTTTTTTGTTCAAAATCAGTTTCTCACTAGACGGTCATGCCATCAAGAGGTAAACTGTTGTTTATTTTCTCCTTTTAGGCTGATTTTCCGAAGTAGGAGCTGTTTACTATGGCCAAAAAGTTGGTTGTTAAATCCATGAAAATTATACAATTTAGACGACAGTATTTTAATTTTTTGAGCTCTGGTTTTGCTTAAAAATTCTTTTGAATTTATAAAATGTGTCTCTTAGTTTTCATCAATAATACAATCTTTTCAACAAAAAACGTTTCATTATTCTTCAAAATGAAATGATTGACGTAAAAATTGTGTAACTAGAAAAAGTGAAACAATTAATAGGTTGTCCATTAATGTCTCTAACCATCTCCCTTAAGAATACAAATGAGTCTCAATATTTTTGCATATACTCTTATTTGTCTTCTTTTTCTTTAGATATAAACCAGACGACATCAAAACTAAAAGAATGTGTGCGTGCATTCATCAAACATATGTTCAATGGATTGTGTTTTCTATTTTTTATTCTATAATGTGTATTGTGAGTAGCATCTGTCATTATTATTACAGACAAAAGTGTCAATAGATTATGTCATTCGCTATCTTAATGGTTCAAATACGTGTATGTGTCGCATCAATGATCAAAAAGAAAATTGTACCGCCTCTATTCAAGGAAGTAAAATTAATTTTCTTTTTTTTTTTAAAAAGTTGTTGTTCACTTTAATAGTTGTTTTTTGTCTATAAGAATGTTACAGCGTGGAAGCAGATGGAATTTAGTAAGAAAAGGTGTTTTTGGAAACAGAAGTTGAACAATGACAGTACGTGTGTGTATGTGTATGTTACTATTATCTATTATTAGAATCTTGAATGAAAGACCATGTGTTTGTAATAGAATGACAGAAATTTGACATTTGGTATTCATTGATTATTATTCATTGTTCTTGGATGTATTCTACGATGATAAATCGTTTAGTAACATTGACAAAGCGTGACTGTTGTTGATAGAACTAACGAACAAAACATGAAAATAGCGCATGTTCAACTAATTGTTTTTTTTCTCTCTA